GGCGTATTTTCAGCATAAATGTGAAATTTTTCCAAAAGGAATAATTCAACTTCATTCTCCTATGCTAATGTATTTCTAAAAATCTGAATATATCATTTTTACTTTAAAAACTATCAAACACAAGTCTCCCAATCAAATACTATTTTTGTACCCCCTCAAAATAAGAGTCTACAGGACCTTAAACTCTACCTGTATGTAGAAGTAAATGTGTGTCTAAGAATAAGAAAATATGCTTTCTTGGCTAGCCTGGAAGGTAGCAAATGGGAGGCTGCTTATATATTTATTTGTTTGTCTGCTTTTAGCAATCATCTTTGGGTAGGTAAGAGTTTACAGATTATAAAAGCAGAAGCTGACATAAGGAAATAGAAACATAAATATTTCTTGTTTAAAGCTTCTCTTTACTGTATGAAAAAAACACAAATCAGGTCCTTTAGCATTCTATCATAAGAATGAAAAATGACAAAAAGGAAAAAATGCAAGTACTGTGTATGTATTTATACATACCCATACAAATTATCTTGTACATGAAAATAGGAGAAGGATGTTAATTAAATCTTAAGATTCCAGTGGATTAAATTAAATGTATGAACTACAGAATATTTAACATCACACTGTACAGATACAGAAATGATTCAAAAAATTAAAATTAAAAATAACCTTGAAATTCAGATTAATCCTAGAGTATCTAAAACAAGTACTTCTTCTGGACAAACTATATCCACATAGTGGGAAATAGTTTTGTTTTTTTTTTTTTAAATATCAGTGATGTTCACTTGAAATCTGCCAAATTATTATTCTGTTTGAAAATCCTTCTAGCCAGAACAAGTTAATAGCAGGCCTCTAAAACTAGGTTAAACATGCTGTAAATCAATTTATTCCCCCCTACAAATCTGCTAAAGTACATCTTTTCTGGTAAAAATGGCTCTTCAATGGTACTTAATACTGTCACTACATTGTTTTGCCAATCAGCTCACTTCAGGTTTTTCTACTTAAGTATGTATTAAAATTAAATGCTTAATTTTGTCATAAATAATAAACAATGCAATGCAGATTCTTTAAAATACCATAAGGAACCTCAAAATGTATTACACATACATTTCCTAAGTTTAGAAGAAATGCTTAATAATGCATATATGATCCCAGTTTGCCATCCAATAATCCATTTGTTATCATTTTAGAGTTAAGAAACAATCTGCACTATCATCTCTCTCAGAGATAGATGACTCATCCTCCACTAAAGGGCATCAGGTAACACCTTTGGCAACATGGTTTTGATAAAAGACTTAAACGAATATTATTCAGGAACACAGCCTATCCCAGGAAATTTAAAGAGCCTGGATCACTACACCAACACTATGTCTCCTGCATTGCAGGACAGGAAACTGTAATGAGTGATTAATCAGCTATAATGTTTACACTCTTACAGGTATATAAACTGATCCACATAATCTTTAATCTCTCCCCTGTTAAAAATTCACACATAAAATAAGAGATGAGTAAACAACTACCAAAGCAAGGGACTCGGCTTTCCAGTTTGAGGAAAGAGATGGGAGCATAGGAATTTCAGAGACTGAAGGCAGAATTTATCATATACGATGCATTTAAGACCACGATGTAACCTAGTGTGACAATGCTGAATTTTTACTATCAAATATGACTGTATTTTCTAAGTACGCTTACTAGGATAAAAATCTTGGTTATAAATTTTATGTAAATAAAGAACAAAGAAAGAAAAATGCAAGTGGGGATGTTCAAGTGTGACCCAAGGGAAGAAATCCTGAGACTGGCTCTATCACCAGTGTCTAGTCACATTATCTCACTCCACATCAGTGTCCCTTAAAGTTAAAGGGTTAGGCCAGAACATCAATCTCTGCTTCCCTCCTAGCAGTTGAAATTTTGCCATCTATTTAGATATCATAGAGACCTCTAGATTTTGTAATATCTTAAGAGCACCTGATAGCAACAGAAACTGTGCTTACAATGTGTAATGACTATAAAGGGAAGAATGTGAACAATCCTCCCAATCTCACATTTTTCAGTTTCTACTAGCCTTAAGAGGGCAATTAAAGTTAGATGCTTCATTTCATCTCACAATAACAACATAATTCTTATTATAATAAAAAATTTTAATATTCTTCTTAAAACATTCAAAGAGAAACAGCTTCACCTGACTCAAATAAAACTTAGTGGCTCTATCTCATTTGGAGGGTTGCAATGCCTGAGCTACAATGTGAGTATCAGGATGTGGAAGCAGCTGTCACTGCTTTGTTTTTCATTCACAGTAGGTGGTTGCCAGGCAACAAAATACTATTGTCTGTTTCCATGATCTATTGGCCAATTCTACTGGTGATAATGCTTTCTACAGTTTAAAAGAGGGCCACCTTTTGGACAAAAAGAAATGAGAAAAAATTCTAAGGATGACAATAACATATATATGAATAAATATACTGAATGTACCATAAAATTATGTGTAGAAATATATAGAATACATATAAAAATATAACTGTGTGCTGATATACATATGTATATTTTGCATATATGCATATGGTACCTAAAAACCCAACTAAATTTGATAGCTCTCAGCTGAAATCTAAATCCCTAAGGGAAAAATCTAGGCATGAACTAGAGAAATGAAAACATAGCAAAAATTTTTTTCTTAATAGCAATAATTTCCAATCTGTCAGATGTATCAAATTCTGTTCCTTTGAATATGAAGTCGTCCAGTCAGAAAAGCAATTCTGTCTACTTATATAAAAATAATAAATGAAAAGCCTTTACCACCTACTTTGGAATCATCCAACATATTTAACATGTTGTTTCACTTAATATCATATGCTACCAATGTGTACAAAGATAATTCAAATAATGTTGCTCTTTACAACCAAGAATCTTAAAACATATTCATCTTAAAAATAATTGAATTGTTCTCCCTGGAATAGCCTCATGTGATTCTCCACTTTGTTTTGATATGAGTCCCTGGGGGATAACAGTCAAGCTATGTTACTCTTGCATATTTCACTAGCTTACAAATAAAATAACACTCACCGTACTCAATATAAAGTTGTCAACATTAACTTGCATCAGTTGCTCTTTGTTTTGCATTGACAAAGCTTCTAAAGTTAAGAATTATAATATTCTTAGATATATAGGCACAACATCAAAACAGCCAGGAAGAATTAAAGCTTGAAAATGCTAGAGGCAATCACGTTTTGAAATGAAGAAAAATCAGTATCATTTACAGGTACATATATATTTCTGCAAAGGCCCTAAATAATGCCAGAACAATCTTTGCATTTTATGCAATGCTCATCCGTCTTCCTTCACAATTATTTCAAAAGCTATTAAATTAACTATTTAATGCATTTCTCTCAAGGGGCCTTTCACTTTTTGAAATTCATTACCACTTGCAAATCTGTACATTACAAGAAAATGGGATAAGAAATATCCATTACATTGATATACATTATTAATATATAGTCTCTATCAAAGGGGCAACTCTGGCAAAACGAAAGCAAAGTGTGTTAATAATGAACTAAGTACCAGTCAAAATTATCACTTTCCCAGAGAAATTCACCCACCTCACAAGAGCGTCCATCTGGCTTTCTCTTTCACATCTCACCCCACAAATGACCCACTTCCTTCTCCCTCTCCTTCTCAAGCTCGCTCACCTGTGTCTCTCCTTCTCCAAGAATCAATTTCCTTCCCACTTTCTCCATCCTCTCCAGATCCCTTAAGCACCCTTCATTACTTTCTCCAAACCACCAGACTCAAATCTGCAGCCCAGTTTGCCAGGAACCTCTCCATAAACACTTATTTCCCTCATTCTCCCAAATCCGCTTTTAAAAATCGCTGCCACCGAACAAATACAATCTTAATAAAATTAGGGTTACTGGCCAGTTGTTTTTTGTTTTTGTTTTTTTTTTTAATGTTACAGCAGTTAAAGATTGAGCGAGAGAAAAGAGGAAAAGCAGGAGAGTATTTTGTGGGAAGGAGGGTGGCTAAGCGGGTATACACAGTGGGACGCGGGGATCCTACGGAGCTGGGCTTCCCCACCTGTCGACCCCACTTCCCCCATGTGCTCGCCGCGGGATGACAACCACAACACTCCAGAACCACCCCCCTCCCAAAAGGGGGCGTGGTTGCGCCTTCAGCCAATCAGGACCCGCGAGCCCCGGGTGTCCAACCTATGGGGTGGCCGTGGCCGTGCAGGGGGAGGACGTGGGGTGGTCCGGGAGGTGCCGCGTCCGTGGGAGGCGCGCACGTGTCGAGTCCGGAGAGGCCGGGAGGCGGCGGATGTCCAGCTGCGGAGGCGCGGGTTCTGCACCCTGGCAGCCGCAGAGTCCAGCTACCCACTGCCCCCTTTGCCTCAGGCTGGGCCGGGCAGGGAGCGCTCCCGCCGAGGAAGACCTGTCCAAGGTGTCCGAGTTCCCCGTGAGAGGGGACACTCACAAATAACAACAATAGTACCCAGAGCAGACAAGGCAGACAGGAAAGTTTCCGGCCCGCACCAGAGCGGAGTCCGCCTAGACAGGGAGGAGAAGGGATGCAGGGCGGGAGGGTGACAACCTGGAAAGAGGAGGGCAGGGGGAGGACGGGCCGGACGGGATCCTGGGCGAGATTGGGGGCGACGGGCGGCGGGGTGCGCTGTCCAAGGTGCGGGGAAGGTGGCTGGCGCGCGGCAGGCGCGAAGCCCGGAGCCGACACAGGCTGGCGGCGGGCGGCGGGGAGAGCGGGGAACAGCTGTCTGGGGCACCGGGCACCCCCGGGCTCCTAAAAGTGACCGGGCGTGAGCTGGGGTGCGGCGGGGAAGGGCGTGGGGTCTGCACCGACGCCCCCACGCCTCCACGTACCTCTCCCTACCAGCCTCACCTCCAGCTCCACTCCCCTCCCCCCTCGCCCACTCCCCTCCAAGCCGAGGTCCCGGTGCCGCGGCGGGGGCGGGACCTGAGGGCCCGGAGCCTGGACGCCCCAGGGATGCTGCGGGCTCCGGGGCTGCTTACCTGGGGCCGCGGTATGAGGAGCGGAGACAGCCGGCCGCGCGGAGCCGGGCGCCGGGCGCGGCGCGGCTCCTCTCAGCCTCGGCGTCCTCCCCCTTCTCGGCTTCTCCCGGACTCTGTCCCGGGCAAGGAGCTGAGAGACGGGGCCGGGCTGCAGCCGCCGTTCCCTCCGCCGCCGCCGTCGCCGCCGCTGCAGACAGAGGACGCCCCGTGGCGGCTGGAAGCCTGTGTGAGTAGCGGCGCCCGAGAGAGCAGGGATCTGCTGAGGGGCGCTGGAGACTCCGCGGCTCGGGGCGCGCGGGCGTGCGCACGCGCGCCTGCGAGTGTGAGTGCGTGTGCGCGCGCGCGCCCACAGGGTGGGGGAGTCGCGAGGGGAGGGGGAGAAAGGCTGAGAGATGCTCGTAGGGACCGAGGCAAAATTCTTCGCCCCCGGAAATCCGTAAATCGGGAGAAGGAGGATCGAACGCGTCTCGCCTGGAGGAACTGCCGGAGCGAGGCCGCCGCAGAGGAGGAGGGGAAGGCGGCGAGGCGCGCTCGGGCTCCGGATCCGAGCCCGGCTGAGCTGAGCGGAAAGCGCAGCCACCGTTGCAGCAGAGGCGGCGCCCGCAGCCGATGGTCGCGCTGCCCCCTCTTGGGAGGGGCCGAGGCCGCTCGCTCCCGCCGCCGCCGCGGCTGTCCAGGCTTCTAGGCTGGGCGCGGGGAGACAGAGATAGGGACCCCACGGTTGCCACGGCGACCTTGGAGGCGCAAGGCCCGCCGAGGGGCCACGCGGAGAAGCCGGCGCACGTGGCTGACTCGGGCTGGAGCGGGCGTGTGCCAGGGCTGCGGCGCGGGGCAGACAGTGGGGTAGGGCCGAGCTCTGCCAACCGCCTGGCCTGGGCAGAGGATGCGGGTGTGGGACCGAGAGTGCGCTTGGCGGCCGGGGTGCGGTCACCATGCACGGTTGGTGGGGACTGCGGGGAGTCCTCGCTCCAGGTGGAGTGTTGCCCCTTTTTTTTTTCCCTCCTTGGAGGCCACTTTTTGTCAAAGTTATCCACTTCCCAGATAAAAGTGCCGCCCTCCTCTTTGTTAAGATTCAACTTAACTGTGCAGGCATCCAAGCAGTGCCTCTGTCAAGTCAGGCTCGTCCAAGCCACATTGTAATACCATAGAAATAAATTTTTAAATCACAATTACATGTCCTGCCTCTTAAAAGATGTATCGTCTTAGCGGTATACTTTTCCAGGCTTATTTCAAATTCTGAGTGCAATTTTATTCACCCAAGCATTTCTTCAAGGGTCATAAGGTCTGGGTAATACTTGAAATAGGCTTCCTGGCAGGAATCCTCAGGCAGTGATTGTGTTGTGTATACTTTTGCATGCCCTCCAGTACTTAGCACAGTACCGTGTACGTTGTGTGTTCTCTGTAAATGAATGAATGGCATTGTTTTCTAGCTTCACGTAACCCGAAGGCAAAGACTTGGATGCTGGGAAAGTCATTACCACCCCACTAGGCTTGCTTGATTTTAACTTATGCGATTTCCCTGTGTGTGGCTATTTTCCCCTCTGGCGGCCAGAGCCCCAATGTGAAAAAAGAAAACAGAACATTGACCCATTGTGTAACATTAACAAAGGGTGCTCGCTAAGAGCCCTCAGTAGGAAACTCAGTGGGGTTCTCTGGGTGTGAGAAGGCTAAAGTCAGCTTTATTTTGGTCCTGGGGAAACCTAACCTTTCAAAACGTGAAAGTCTCCGTGTATACTATCCCTTTTAGAGCAGAAGGGTGGGGAACAGAGTTTTCAGAGAAATACACGTTTATAGTAGTTTGTCAGGTACAAGCCTTTCTCTTGTAAAGAGCAGTACTTCATGGACACTTGCCACAACAGGCAGGAACACCCCAGACTGCTAATTCTACTGTGGCACCAAGCCCACATCCTTCAACTGTGGTATTTCTACAATCATCTTCTTAGAAGCAAAAGTCCTCAATTTTATATTCCATGCTAAATTTCAATTCCTTTGAACTCAGGCTCTTCTATGAGCTGCTTCTCTCACCACTCATGATATCACAGCTGTGAAATATAACTGAAATAAAGTGAAAATTAAAATGGATTTATTTGGGTGCTGCCATGTATTCTCTAGTGGGGGTCCATTTAAATGACTTCTCTACTGTCACTCAATTTACAATCTTCTTAGAAGACATTTGTTGTGATATTGGAATTCTTGTTCTTTTTTTTTTATTTGTCATGTTGAAAGCTTAGATATTTTAATTTTTTACTTGAAAGGAAGCTCTAAAACTTGAAGGAGAAGCAGAAAAACTCTGATACCCAAAATGGAGACTTGACAGCCAATGTATAAAATGGGTATGAGTCGCAAATCTTCCAAAATAATTTGAAAGTTTTGTTTTTCTTAGAAAGTTGCTTTTAGGGTTTTGAGGGGGCTCAGAAACTGACTGATAAACCAAAATATGCTGCTTTGACATGCGGGGCTGGGAAGCAGCCTCAAGGTCTCTCTGACCTTTTCCTCCACTTCTGTCTTTCAATCTTCTCTCTCTCCCAAAGCATAGGATGAGGTTGTTCTCTGAGCTTTCCTTATCTATCTAGAAACAGGACCTGCCAAAAAAGAACACAATTGCCTTCCTTAAGTTTTCCTTCACCTAACTCATATCACAGGAAGAAAGACTGAAGTCTGTCAACACAACTGGACAGACTTGTCACATTGCTCTGTGGGCCCAACAGACTTCTTCCCAGACCATTATGTTCTCCAAGCCCATTGAATCCCCCTAAAGTCATTTACCGTCCCCCTTGAAAACATCCATTCCTCATCTGTTTTTCCCCTATACAGAAGGATATATAAGCATCTGTACCCCATTGGGTTATTGGAGATAATCATTCTCCTGCAATTTCCCTGTGTTATACATGTTAAAATAAATATGGTATGTCTTTTCTCCTATTAATCTGCCGTTTGTGAGTTGATTTGCAGTGAACCTTCAGAGGGTTGAAATCCCTACAGGTGTCAACCACTTCCCAAATCCTTGTTTTAGTTGGTGGGATGAAAGAATGTTAAAACTGTAACTTCTCTGATGACCACCAAAGGGGAAAATCTTGTCTTTATAAAAATAAATACATTTATAAGACGCCAACATTAAAAAATAAGAATATCAGTGTACAGCAATCAATTTATATTAACTTAAAAATAATAGAAATTTAAAAGATGAACAATGAAAAGAAAGAATAGCAACATAAGATATATAGTGTTTTTGGCCCACTTAAAAATAAAAGTTTGGAGGAGCAACTACAGTAAAAACACTATCAACCCATACCTCCTCTTGCTACTTAAATACTAAACAATTATGTACAGCTGAGAGATTCATTTTATATGTTATTATCAGTTGGACTGAGAATCAATAGCATATTTATCAGGGACTTACTTTTCTTCCTAAAAAGGTAATGCTCCTTAACATAACTGCTTCTTTCAATTTACAGCAGTGCAATAAACTAGTCAAATATTAACTTCCTTAAAAACACAGGATCATGTAAGGGTGGTGTACGAAGTACCTTAAACTGATTTGATCACAATGATGTATCTAATCTAAATAAAAAAACAAAAACTTTTTACCTCTCAAGACTGGTAAATTTAAACTGTGAGATGTACCATGAATTCCAAAGTCAACTCCTTATGCTGGGAGCAGATTGCCCCAATTCTTTGAAGTGAGAAGTCAGGAACCGTTAGCTGAAGTGCTGCTGTTGATTTGAGTGGCTGTGAGCACGCATAAGGATAGAGATAATTTCCCCCATAATTAGGTCCCAGATCACTTAGTCCATTAGAGTTTTAAATGATAAAAAATACCATGACCTACACCTGGAAACAAAGTGCCAACTCAGTACAGAGTGAAGTATAGGAACAAGGAGCAGTCTCAAGCCATCCTGTTTGTATTCATGTTTAATACATTGCCTTACTCCAGATACTGCTCACGACAATTTAATTCTGACTAGAGATCACATATCTTCAGGAAAGTAAAAAATCAGAGGAAAAATGTTATAGTTTATTCTAAGCAAAAGGACACAGCTTTTCTTCCTTAATCATTAAGAAAGAATGCTGACATTTGGGGTGTAAGTGAACATGCTTGATGTCAGTGGTTCTAATAGTTTATAGAGGTATGGATTTCCTAGGAGCTGAGAAAAGCTATGGATCCTCTCTCCAGAAAAATGAAAATATGAATGTAGAAAAAATCTTTTGAATAAAATTTCAGGGACTAAGAGAACCTCCTTTGAAGTTCAGGTTAAGAACTACTGCCTAATATAGATCCTTTGCACATTAATATTTTATAGCTAAAGGTAAATAAATTGGTAGATTTACTAATATCCTCACTTATATTTTTAATCTAATAATTTATTTGATTTTCAACACCAAGAAGATGCATAAGCAAATCGGTAAACCAAACAAATATTTATTGAGTACCTACTTCATAATCAATTCTGTTTTTCATGCTGGTTGTTACCTAGAAAGTGTAAAAAATACAATCTATCTCTGCTCATAAGGAGCGTACACTCTAGCTATCATTATTCTTGGGAACAAAAAGTGAACATAAGCATAATTTATCACTTGACCAGGTGCAACAAACTTCAATTTGTATTATCAATAAGACTTAATAAAGATATTTGTTAAATAAACCATTTGGGTGACAATTATTAGTGGCCAATGTATATATGCATATTTTCATATTCATATTCCCTAAAAGTAATCATTTAGATTTTCACATGATATATCATGTAAATAGCTAATCTGCTGCTGTGTCTGAATTTTAGATTGAGGATATGAAGAAACTGACAAGGAAGGATAGACCATGTTAGCAATGGCAGCTATGGACTACCTATCCCTGGGGATCCCTGGGCAGAGTGGAAAAGGTTATAGAATAAACTAGAGCTTATATTTATTTAACCCATCACAAAACTCATAGGGCAATCCATGTATAGTATTTTGAAATTTCAGTATCTACAAAGACCCAGTAGTCTATGGATAATTTTTACATAACATTATTACTCGCCCAAGAATATCATCATTTTTTTTACTTCTCAATTCCTGTTCACTTATTAACACAGAATTATTTTCAATTAATATAACTTTTAAAAACACAACTCCTTAAGTGAATTCATGACAAAATTGTAAAGAGAAAAGAAGCAATAATCCAAGGAACCAGAGTTTTCAGTGGTTCAAAGCAGTATTACCATGGACTCCTCTGACACTTATAGGGTGGCATTGACATAAAGCCATTAACCTAATTAAAGCTGTTGGAAGCTCAGCCATTCATGTATTGAACACTTTATATACTCTGCTTCCCCATGAGCCCCAGAGGTTTCATGTAGAGTTACAGGACTGTCAGTCACATCTTTTGACTTTTCCAGGGGTGGTCTTAGTGTGGCATGAAAATAGCACCTGGCATTGAGTGAAAGGATCTGAGTTCAAATCCCAGCCTAGCCAACAACTTGCTGTGTGCCCTTGGGCACCTCACTCTCTGAGCTTCACTTGCCTCACCCGTGAAATGTGGACAATAACACTTACCTCATTGGTTTGTTAAGAAAATTATATAAAGTAACATGAGAAAGGGTCCCTTATGTTGTAGGAACTTGTAAATCTTGGATCGAAATCAAAAGCGTGTGGCAGAAAATTGGAACACATGCATGAATGAAGCTCCTGTAGAAATTCTGGAAACCTTTGTTAGATTATAACATTGGACTGAGTTGATGATTTCTGGGAGTCCCTTCCAAGAATATTTTAAGAAAACCACAGACAACCAAAAGTTGGCAGAACCTGACACATGCAGGAAATTGTGGATTCCATAATTCTAGAGGTGCTATGATTCTATAAATTCTGCTGCTGTTGCAAAACCCAAGCTTTTGTGTTCATTTGTTTTTAATTAGTCTCTATTTTTATTCTGTCACATAGATTCTGCTTCCTCAATGGTGGTTTGCCCTGCTAATTTAGCTATGTGAACATTCATTTCACAGATAAATACCAACCATAAAAATTCCTTTCTTTTAAACAAAATAGTTCACTTCCCACCCTTTAATTGTAAAAGTGTTGTGTATGCTTATGGGAAAAAATAGGCATTACAATAATGTAAAAGATAGAAAGAAAAAATTGCAGTAACATTACCCCTCAGGGACCAACTCTGATTACTATTTTGGTATATACCCTTCCCCATATTTTTTTGGCACATATTTATTCTTTTTAAATGCAATTAAAGTCAAAGTTCAGCCATTTAAATGCTAGCATTTTAGCAAAATCAGTTAAACACTTTCACAAAAAGGTTCAAATTTGGATTTTTGTTTTCTTTTTTTTCCTTTCATACTCCTCTCCAAGATGGGCTCTTTGCTCAGCAAGTTCCTTAAAGCAAGATTGTAACTGGTCATCCTTGAATCCTTCCTTTTTTATTTCCCCACATTTGCCACTTCTAATAATGAATAAATATTTTTAATGGCCCTTTAAAAACTGAATCTCACCTTGCCTCAAATGCCGACGTGTTCTGGAGTCACAAGCCCTGGTCCTTGGCCTCTCGCCATTCTGTGGATGCTTTGCATTACTTAACCTCCACCCCCAAAACGAGGTCCAGCTCTAACCTTGGATTTGGTACTGCATTCCCTGATGGAGCAGAAAAGATTCTTGATTTCAATAAGTAACCAGAGTGTTCACTGAAGCGACCACCTATAATATTTACTGATTCTGCAGAGTTTGACCTAGAGGTGGTGAATTATTTGAATTTATGTTTTATGTCAATTGCTGCAGGCAAAGTTTGGAAAGTTTGTTGTATTTTGCTTTTAAGAGTCTATAAACAGCCCTTAACAAAGCAAATGATGGCCAGAATTCCAATAGAATTTCTTACATAGAGTATGATCACTATTTTACCCAGGAAGCTATCATTATTAATGAAAAGTATAATAATGTTTATAATTTTGCCAATTTGCTAATTGTGTAGAGGGCTACTGGTTCCCAAAGTAAAACAACCTCAATCCAGCCAATCCCACTCTGCAGATCTAAGAGATCTCTGGTACCACTCTTAAAATGAAAGCTAGAGAATTGATGGAGAGACGAGAGGGAGGAAGGGAAAGAGAAAACAAGGTGAGATTAATTATTTATAGGACTTCTCTGTAGAATATACACCCCGCATTGTCTGGGGTCCCCACCCCCTGCCACGTACCCTAACAGGGATGCACAGCCCTACCTCCCCTCTGTCCATGGAAAAATTGCCTTCCATGAAACTTAGGAAAGAAGGGGCAGGAGGGGAGAGTGGAGGGAGCGAATCTTCCCCATCCCTCGAATCACTGCCTGAGTTCCACCTTCCCCTGCCCCCAGGCTGGTCTGTAGAAAGTTGTCTTCCATGAAACAGGTCCCTGGTGCCAAAAAGGTTGGGGATCACTCTTGTAAATTATGAAAGTTTTAAGCACATATGCTACCACCTCGTATGTGCAACTGGTATAAGAAAATAATGAGATAATAAAATGTAACACAAGATAAGCGACAGCTTGGAAATCATATACATGGCATAACAATATGCATTGAAAACTTTTGATGAATGCCAAATTGCAAAAAAAATCTAAGAATTGGTAATATGTCTCTAGCATTAATCAAATGAGAATCATCATATTTAGCAAATCCAAGAATTTCAGCAACTACATAAGTAGACTCTTGTTGCACAAGATCACTTACCTTGATTCTTTCTTGTGCTAGATGCTGCAAATTCTTCTTGTAGTAAAAAATCTTGTTGTTAATGTTAAAGATCTTGTTCTTATGGTGGGGGGTGGGGAAGGAGTAGGAGAAGGAGAAGAAGAGAGAATAGAGAAAAGGAGGGGAGAGAAGGGAAGGAGACAGGAGGGAAGGAGAGAGGAGGGGAGAAGAGCAGAAATATAGCTAGAAAATGCCAGATTACCCCAAGAGTTATTACAGCAGTTGTTGTCTTTTACCCTAACTTTGGTAAAGAGGCCATGAAGCAATTTGTTCTTGGACCAGAAAATTATTGGATTTCAAGAAGAGCATTAAAGTTTTGCTAATAACAATGTTTAATTATTTCAAATAAATGTTTTATTTAATTGTCTTAATACAATTAATATCCTATTTAATTCTTGAAATTGAAATATCAATTATGACTTTGTCTTATTTTTCTTTAAAGCCATTTTCACTCTTTCTTCAGATTTCATTTTTATGCTTGATTACCTATAGATAGAGTATAAAAAAAACTTAAATGCTTTAAACTATTTAGTGAATATCACATCAAGGCTCACTTAGTAAAGCTATGAAAGAAATATGTGCTATACATACACAGACCACAATCGGTGATTAAGCCCTCAAAGTGACATTCCTTAGAAGGCAGTGTTTGCCTGGAGGGACCATTTCATAAAATCCTTCTAATGACTGCATCACTCTGAAAACCAATGAAATTGATTTGTTAATTCTAGAAATGGAATAAGATGAGGAATATGAAGGAAAATGTTTCCAAATTCAATCCATGCTTTGAATTTGCTTTTAAATTAATTTTCCATAGTTCCTTCTTTTCCCAGCCCATATGACAGTGCTTTATTTTAGATTGTTGATTACTTTTTTGTGAAGATGGAAAATGCACATATCTTAGAATCAGAAAGCCTGGGCTCAAGCCATGGGGTCTCCTACTTACTGTCTTACTTTGAATCAATTAATTTTGCTAACTTCTATCCCAAATTTTTCATTTCTAAATTGGAAATGATGGTGATATTCAACTCACAAAGTTATTATGAGAATTTTTTGCATAAAAAAGTTTTATAAAATCTAAGGCATTGCACAAATGCTAACATTTGTGGGGTATTAGTATAATTGTTGTTTTTAAATATTAATATTTTCAAAGTTAAATACTAGTGTAATAGTTAACCATGATTGGCACTACTTCACATAGTTTACTGAGCAGAGTCTATTTTCAAATTGAGTTGCCATTCATCTCACACCAACATCCAGGTTTCCACTAACTAGGACTCAGTGTAATGTAAAGCATGTAATAAGATGTTCAAGACACTTGTTGGACTCACCTGCCCCATATCTCATTTCCTTCTTTCTACTTAATTCCATTCCTTTTCAATTCTCTTGTACCTTTCTTTTCTTCTTGTTTTACATCATGTAGGTTATCATGTTTTCACAATAAGCAAATATCCTAAGAATGATGAAAAATGCCCATAGCACTTTTCATCTAAGAAATGCATAGCGCTTTTATAAAGACATTAATGATCATCACACAATATTGTCTACCTTGACTATTTTCTCATCTTTTTATCATGCATATCTGCCTAGTGTAAAAATCACAGGGCAAGAACTCTGTCTAATTCTATTTGTAAATCAGGGAGAGAGCATTGTTGTTCGATAAATGCCAAGAAGCAACAGCATCCGTATGAGGTGAATAGGTGGAAATTATTATTTCTGTCTATAGCGAGATGAAAATAAAATGGGTGCTTTACAATTTCCAAAGCATTCTCATATCGATTATCTCATTTGTACATCATACCGACACTGTGAGAAAGCTAAATAGTGCAGTCTTACTGTTATCCTCCTTGTGCGACAGTAGAAGGTGAGACTAAGAGGTTAAATGCCTGGTCCAAGGTCCTGCAAGTCAGGGCACAGCTGGAAGGGAAGCCAAACCTGCAGATCTCTACCCTGCTCTTATTAACTAATGATTCAGGAGCTTGGCACAACCGTGATGGGTCTTGAACATGTCAAAAAAGTGTATCTATTTTGTTATTGTTGTATGGCAGCACTGAACTCTGACTCTGGCCCACAGTAAGTGCTTAGTAAATACTTGTTTAATTAATTGATTGATTAATAATTGGTAAATTAATCATTAAATAATATTAAGTCAGTAGACTCAAGAACTAATTAGTGAATCCATAGCAAGACCTGACATCCTTGCTTTCAGGCTGCTTCTCAACCCAGGAACACCGTTATTTGTATTGTTAATTTTCTGTTTCATTTAGTGAAACTTGAAATGCTAGTTTCCATACTACTTCCCAGTCATATTCTCCCAACAACTGATACTTCTTTTCAGTAGCTCAGGTTCATATATACTTCCTTCTCTCTTATTTTTTTTTCTTTTGGGCCCAAGCAATGTGCCTATATAGGTACTTCTCTAATAGGCTTAACTATATAACCTGCAAGATGCAATCAATGGAAGGGCCTGAAAAAGTTTAAGCTTAACCTTTTATTTCATTAAGAAAATGTGTGATGTGTTTACTCTTAAAAATCTTCTGAATTATTCCAGAAACCCCCAGAAGCCAGGCACTGATACCAGGACAAATATGACTTACAATTGAGAGTCTGCCATTCATGTCCTCTGTTTGTGTTAACAGCATGTGAGAGTTCTGAGACAGGAATGTGTTACTTCAAGCTTTGAAGAGTGTTGGGCATGCAAGCTGGATTTTACAATAAGACAGTTGGGGAATAGTAGCGAATAATGAAAAGAAGGATGTGAGAATAGCCATGCACTTCTCAGTGGCTACTTTCTTTAGATGTCACAGGAAACAGTCAGTAGTAACCTTACTAGCTGTCCTAGATTTGGACTGGTGTAATGCTCACATGCTACTTGCTAGGAATGCCTTACAGCAACCCTTGATCATGACGAAATCAAATGATATAGCACACATGTGCACTTGCTTAGGCACCAAATCAACATCCTCAACTTTCTTTCTACTTATGCTATCATCTTGCAGATGTATTTTCGTCTTTTAGTAGCATTTTAGCTAAATATCTTTTCAATAGGGTTCATCAAGGAAATTGGTGGGTGAACTTAATGTCTTATTTCTCAGAATCACAGTCAATTAAAGACCTCCAACTCTTTTTCACCCAAACAGTCTTTCTTAAATACACATATTGCTGTATTACAGCTCATGTCCCTAGTTCAGTTTTTCATTTTTCAACAAAACATCAATCAAACTATTTCTCTTGTAAGAAAAGCTTATTTGAAATGAAGACCTTATGTTAACATATTCTAAGAACACTTTAAATAGTTATATACTATATAATCCTGGATTCATTAATGCATTTGGTATCAGAATGTGGTAGTTCAATTTTACTATCCCTTTAACGAAGCCCTCTGGGATATTCAGTTCAAGTTTTCATGCGCTGGAGGGGCATCCAGAGAAAATGACAAAGGAAAGTGGGTCCCAAGTCCTTACCTCAAGACCATTACTTCTCCTTTATGTTTATTTTTCTTTACCTTTAATTTTCATGTATTGATTAGTCACATATTAACTAACATCTCTGAACAGGGAAAAAGAATATATGTGTAATATATATGTACATATAATATATGTAAATATATGTATATGTATATATTATATACATATTGACATCAGCTAAATTGACAAGGCTAAATATTTAAATATTGGTCAGTTCTATTATAAAGCAAATGATAGAAAAATACTTGTTAGGTATTATTCAGGGGGGGATTCATTTTTATTCATAAGAATAAACAAATGAATGGCCTAGAAACAATGAAATATCATGTCCTTTGGTGTTCTGTGAATTCTACAAGTATATTTCACTTAATATTTTACACCCAGTGTTTTTTTTAAATGTACTAATAGATGCTTTCTAAAATGATTCTAATGTTATTTCTTTTAAGATAGCCCTTAAAAATAATTATCTTCAACTAATTTCTTATTATGGCAAATCAGATTTTCATATATGAAATCATTTAAGGGCTCACCTACGCCCTGAGTAAATTTTTAATCAAGTATTGAACATCTCCCACATTTCAGGCTTTGTGATAAAATATACCAATCACTTCCTGTAGGGCATGTATTATTATTCTCATTTTTTATAGATGACAAAGCTCTGCTTCAGAAAGGTTAAATAAGTTCCCAAGGTAAGAAAACTAATAAATGCTAGAATCTGTCTAGGAATCCATATTTGTCTTTCTCTCAGGCCTGTGCTCTTTTCAGTATATTGTGTAGCCTTTCAAATTTTAAAACCATCAAGGTTTATACAGATATATGTACTGGCACACATATCTACACACAGGCAGAGTAGGGTTCTTTCCTTTTTAAAAATAGTCTTGACATCTAAAAAACAATTGCATTGGAAAGACATCAGTGGTGAATTTCTGACATTTTGGTATATACCTGCCTTGGTTTTAACCTTTACAAAATCTCAATTAGCATTGGGCCAACTTTGATGAATCATTCTTGCTTTTAGTAAAGTAAGTATGATATGTGAAGGAGACAGTTTCCCATTTTCTGCACCTCTAAAGACTTGTGTCATCAGGTACAAAAACTAACAATAGATTTAATAAGCTATTTATTTCTATAATGAGAGAAATCCTTATTATTCACTGGGAATAGGCTGCATTTGGGGATACTATAATAGACGGCAGAATAACAATTGAAATTCTGAATATATTAGAACCACAGCATGTTGCAGACCAATTAAAATTGACAACCAAGTGAAGCAAATACACATAGATAAATATAGAAAATTCGAGTTGTTGTTGGGGTGATTTTTTCCTCTTTTCTCTTTACTACTGCATATTTTTCTTCCTTCTTGATATTCCAGTTCATTTTGTTAATCTTTTTCTGCTTGGCTTCTGAATTTTAATTGAATTGAATGCTGATAGATAATCAAATTTTAATTCATTGTAGACTACCCTGGAACTTTGATGTATTTAGTGCCCTGATGTTGGGAAACTATCACTAACTAGAAATACTAGCTTTTGTAGAATATGTCATTTTCATAATCTTAAACTAAGATTTGAAAAATAGATACCATGCTAAACATTTCAGCCATGTGTTCACCTCTCTGTATTAAATTCGGTATTGGCAGCTGAGTAGGAGATTATAGGGTACAGTTGCTTTAACCTTCAACAGCAAATGATGCTTGCTGAATTGTCTCCCTGTGTCTCTAAAGCCCAGGAAGCTTAAATAAATAGGTTTGATGCTAACAGTAAGAAAACACAGTAAATTAGCAACACTTAGGTTGCAGGAGAGTTGATGCTAAGTATATTGCTAATGGAGATAGGGGATTTTTTTTCCTGAAGTTCTTGAAGAATGTTTTGTGTAAGGCATGCCTGACTACAGGACATTAAGTTTGATATAACAACATAAACAATAGACAGCATTTATTAGGTATCTAGTATATATCATGCATTGTACTGGATGCTGTACATTACCTAATTTTATTTTACTAATAACCCTATGGAGTAGGCATTATTATCACAATTATACACATGGTAAAACTGATGATCAAGTAAGTTAATTACCATACCCAGGGTCACATAATTAAAGCTGTGACTGGAACTACAAAACCCATAGCTGTGCCCCTTCTGAGTTTAGTGACCTACCAATGGCTATTATATATTAGTTATTTCTCTTGTCAAAAGACAGTAAAGTATTTGTTCATAAATGCAGTATTATATTTGAAAAAATAATATTAGAGAACAGCTAGGTATAATCCTAATACTTAACACAAGTGCAGATCTGGCCTGAAACTGATTTTTAACTTGCATCTTTTTAAATGTGATGGCATTTGTAGTGTAGATGGGGATACAGGGGCGGGGAAGAAAAACAGCTGTCCTAGGAACACTGAAACAAAAGGATCTAGTTAAATGCTTTCTACTCTCTCACAAGATTAACAACCCTTAAAATTTTTCCTTATTTAAAAAATTATGACAGAGTCATTCAGTGCAGGCCCGGAAAAGGACATAATTATCGGGCTTCTTATATGTAATGCTTTTAAAAACAGAGATTGAAGTTATATTATTCCAAAAACATGTTAAATTTGGGGTGAGGGGAATATTTCCTCGCAGAATTAATTTGTAAAAAGTAGCAAACACTGCCATCTACTGGACCTTAATTTTCTCTTTGTTATAGGTTTTGCAGATGAGCATAACTTGTGTATATCTTGTGTATATAAATAAGAAAAGACATTTGTTATTGTCAAGAAGATTTCAAACTATTTAAACATAATTGAGGGGCTATGTTTACTTCTTTCTGAATGCGTTGCGTTCTAAGCCACTTTATTATTGGTATTAAAAGAAATATTCAATAAAAATAAA